ATCCATGCACCCCATGTCACTCTGTGCCCCATGTCCCCACATCCATTTGTCCCCCTGTCCCTATGTCCATGTGTCCCATGTCCCCATGTCACCATATCCCCATATCCACGCATCCCATGTCACTCTGTGCCCCATGTCCCCATATCCCACATTCATGCATCCCACATCCCCATGTCCCCATGTCCGTGTGTCCCATGTCCCCATATCCTCACATCCATGCACCCCATATCACTCTGTGCCCCATCTCCCCACATCCATTCGTACCCATATCCATTTGTCCCCATGTCCCTACGTCCATGTGTCCCATGTCCCCATATCCTCACATCCATGCATCCCATGTCACTCTGTGCCCCATGACCCCACATCCATTTGTCCCCATGTTCCCATGTCCACGTGTCCCATGTCCCCATGTCCGTGTACTCCCACATCCATGCACCCCATGTCACTCTGTGCCCCATGACCCCGCATCCATTTGTCCCCATGTCCCTGTATCCCCACATCCACAAGTCCCCATGTCCCCCATCCACGCACCTCCCCCATATGCCGTCTCCGCGCTCACTCCGCTCCGCGCTCCACTTTCCTCCTCTTGGCTGCTCCCACCCCGCTCCGCTCCACCTGAATCCGCTCTCCGCATCTTCCCTCCGCCGCGCTTTCCCGCGCATGCGCCTCCTCCTCCCGCCGCTCCTCCCTCTGGCCGCGCATGCGCGGTGCGCGCCGCGGGGCGGGCGGGGGGCGGCGGTGCCATGGCGCAGCGCGGCGGGGAGCGCGAGCGGGAGCTGCAGTGGTCGGCGAGGAGGATGGGGACCTCGCTGCTGTTGCAGCTGTCGGCACACGAGCGAGAGCTCGACCTGGTGTGTCTGGACCACAGCTACGCCAAGCCTTGGAGCGCCCACCCAGACGCCAGCGCCGCCCGCCCCGCCCGAATGCTGTTCCTCACCCCGCGGCGGCAGCCCGGCACCGCCCTGTGAGGGGATAAGGGGGGATGGGGGGTCTGTGAGGAGAAACGTTGGGATCTGAGGGGTCTGTGAGGGGCTGTAGGCCTCTGTGGGGTGAGTTGTGAGGGGAAAGCGTGGGGTTTGGGGGCTGAGGGGTTGTTGGGGGTCGGTGGGGAGGGGCGTGAGGGGGTTTGTGAGGAGAAAGTTTGGGATGTGGGGGGGCTGAGGGACTCTGAGGGGTTTTGGGTTGTTAATGAGCGGTAATTGAGGAATATGGGAGGGTGTAGGGGTCTGTAAGGAGGGTTTGTGGCTGTTCCTGTGGTGGAAGTGAGGGGTTTTGGGTGCTGAGGGATATAGGGATCTGTGTGGAGGGTCCTGAGGGTTTCTAATGGAGAAGTGATGGATTGTAGAGATTTCCGAGAAGAAAGTTTGGGATGTGAGGTGTTGAGAGACTCTGAGGAGGGACCTGGGGGGGGTTTCTGAGTGGAAAGTGTGTGGTTTGGGGGCTGAGGGGCTGTTAGGGGTCAGTTGGGAGGGATAGGAGGTGGTTTGTGAGGAGAAAGCTTGGGATTTGGTGGGCTGAGGGGTCTGTGAGGGGCTGAGGGACTCTGAGGAGGGACCTGGGGTTGTTAATGAGCGGTAACTGAGGAATATGGGGGGATGTAGTGGCCTGTAGGGGTCTGTAAGGAGGGTTTGGGGTTGTTTCTGAAATGGAATGGAGGGATTTTGGGTGCTGAAGGAGTACAGGGGTCTGTGTGGAGGGTCCTGGGGGGGAGGTTTCCAATGGAGAAGTGATGGATTTTAGGGCTGAGGGGTCTGGAGTGGAGTTTGTGAGGAGGAAGTTTGGGGTGTGGGGGGCTGAGGGAGATGTGAAAGGGATCCAGGGGGATTCTGAGGGGAGCTGTTGGGTTGTGGGGAGGTAAATGGGGGGTTGGAGGATGGGGGGGGTGTCCTGTGGGATTTGGGGTCTGGGAGAGCAGTGTGGGGTTGGGGGTTTTGTGAGGGGAGAGTGGGGAATAGGGTGTCTGTGGGGGCTGCGAGGGGGGAGATCAGGAAAGGTCTGATTGTGGCTGGGGGCTGTTTGGGTGTCTGTGGGTCTGAGGGTGAGGCAGAGCCAGGAGATGTGGGCCAGGGTCACACAGGAGCAGGTTGTGGAGTCTGTGGGGAAGAGCTGGGAGCTGCAACAAGAGCAAGGGGCTGCGGTGAGGTGTGGGGTCGCACACAGGGTTGCAGTACAGGGGCTCGGTGTTGGGGTCTGAGATCTCAGCAAGGCTCAGGGGCTGCCTTGCTTTGGCTGGAAGTGGCACAGGGGGCTGGTGGAGAGGCTGAGAGGATGGTAGGTTATTGCCAGCACCTGCCAGCAGCTATGGCTGCATTATTAAGCGTTAATGTCTGGTTGTTTTAGTGTTCACCATTTAACCTTGCAGCCACAGTCAGGATTTGGGCTTTGTGTGTCTGTGGGGGGGCTGCTCTTTGTGGAGCTGTGGGCTCTGTTCGCCCAGTTGGTCTTAAGTCCTCCGTCACTCCCCTCAACATGGGGCCTGTGTTACTCATAGGAGGCAAAGCTGTATCTCTGCATCTCCTCAGGGGTTCGTAGTGTGGGCTGTAAGGTTAGATGGAGAGGTTGGGTGTGAGGCGTGATGGTGGGACACCTGAATGTGAGACCTGTGCAGGGTCTGAGGCACGCGTCCTCAAGGCAGTGGATGAAAGGACTGTGGGACGGGTCAGTCTGGAGGAGAGTAGGCTCGGGGGATTCCTCATCACTGCATCTCTGTGGCAGGAGGTTGTGGTGAGGTGGGGATCAGGCTCTGCTCCCAGGTAACAGCGATGAGAGGTGATAGACTCAAGTTGCACTGGGGGAGGGTCAGGTTGGGTATCAGGAAGAATTTCTTCTTCCAAAGGGTTGTGATGCAGTGGCACAGCCGCCTGTGGAGGTGGTGGAGTCGCCATCCCTGGGGGTGATCAGGAGCTGTGGAGATGTGGCACTGAGGGATGACCTGGTGTAGGGAACTGCTTTGGCAGGGGGGTTGGACTCGATGATCTCTGGAGGTCCCTTCCAACCCCTGCAGTTCTGTGATTTACTGGAATCACTGGACCCAGCTGGCCACAAACTACTCTCACTTAACAGAGCCTGAGGTCTGTCAGATCAGACCTGAGATGGGTTCTGTTCTCTGAAGCACGATTCCTCCTTACAGAGAGGCCGATGTCCCCATCGATGTGGAGTCGGTGACGCCGACGCCGGTGCCGCTCTATGACAACCAGAAGGCGCGCAGCGTGATGAACGAGTGCGAGCGGCACGTCATGTTTGCTCGCACGGATGCAGATGCTCCTCCACCCCCAGATGACTGGGAGGAACACGTGAACAGGTAGAGCAGAGCGAAGACGGGTGGGCTGAGAGGGAAACTGTGGCACCAAACAGCTGTGTGTTGTGTAGAGGGGGGTTTTTTCAGTGCTTTGCTATGTGTGGCTGACGTGCCTGAGCTGGGGAGCGTTCAGAGAGAATGATTTCCTCATATGGAGATCCCTCCTGTTTGGAGGAGCTTGGGGCACTTGTTAGATGGCACACAGATCCCCAGCTCAGCTGTAATGCAGTGCTGTAAAGTTAAAAAGAAGAGGATGTGAGTCAGTTCACCATTGCAAACCCTGCCTGTAAGCGTGGTCAGTCAGTTTGAACTCTTGACGTGAGGAGGAACGGTGGTTTGGAGGAGAAGGGAAATAACCTAGGCCAAAAAGAGTGATTGTTTTAGTTTTATTTATGGTTTCTGTTGCCTCTGCTTACAGAGGGGGGCTGCTTACCTGCCTTGGGAGTGTGCAGCAGCTGCAAGAACTGAGATGTGTTTCCCTTTGGTTTTCTCCCCAGGACGGGCTGGACGATGGCCCAGAACAAACTGTTTAACAAGATTCACAAAGCGCTGCAGTCTGACAGGCTGGCTCGCTTGGCCAACGAAGGGGTAGGAGCTCTCGTTCCCTGCTGCTCTTCCAGCTTCCAGCAGAGTTGCTGCGTGTGTTTTTATTCAGTCCTCCCTTGCAAAGCGATGGAAGTCCTTTGGGTTCCGTGGCCTTAAGAGACAGGGAACTCTGGACTTGGCTGAGGCACGGTTTTGTCCTCGCTGAAGGGATGCTGGCTCTTGCTTGCTGCCGCAGGACTTGGAGCTGATCCATTCCTGTGGGTTGGGATGAACAGGGCACACTTGACTTTTCCCATAAGGTTTTTTTTCTCCTTTCATGTCTGCCTCCTAGGCTTGCAATGAACCAGTCCTGAGGAGGATAGCAGTGGACAAATGTGCTCGGAGAGTCCGCCAGGCGCTGGCAAGCGTGAACTGGGACACCAAACTGATCCAGTGGCTTCACACGACCTTAGTGGAAACCCTCAGTTTGCCAGTGCTGGCTGCTTACCTGGATGCT